TTTTGCAATCTTTTTTCTTCTTTTAACCTTTTTCAAGATAATAGTGAAAAAATGGGAGCATTTATAACTATGAGATGCATTAAAAGCCTGGAGAACAGGTTGTCACCAGTTAAAAAGTAAAACTCTAAATAGTCCTGCAGAAAATTAGACTTGAGACTCTTTTGGTTAAAAAAAAGGGGGGGGCGGGGGGGTGCAGGAGGGAAAGAAAGCCCAGGAACTGTTAGTGGAGTCTTTCAGAGATTAGCAAAGAAGCGGGTGACAGATTGCAAAACATACAAGCTACTTGCCCCAGACTTCCCTTTAAACCCAGACTGTGGGATCAGTCACTTGGATGTCTTTTCCGACGTAGTTAAGGCTGTCTTTTTGGGTTTTTTTTCACCTGATTGTTTATTTTAGTCTGTGTAAGAGTTTAAATTTGGTGACTTTACAGAACCGATCATATTTTGCAAGTAGGAAACATTTCAGAAATAAATGGGTATAAATGCAGTTTTCATGAAGCTTCACAGCAAATCTGCCATCCCAGTTTTCTGCCTGTGTTGGCTTCTGCCTGTAAATCCCAAAATGCTTTTTGCTGGGCACCTGCCACTAGATTTGTTTCTCTCCATTTCTGCTCTATTTTCACCATTTTCTTTTTCTATCTTGACTATTTACGTGGAAAAAGCAGCATTAATCAGATGCACTAAAGGTGCGCTGGTTGCCTTGATTCTGGATTTTTATCTCAGCCCAGGGTCATCTTCCCTAACCTGTGGTGTTTCTGTGGCTGTCTCTTCGTGAATCTCAGGTTGATGAATGATTTGGAGGACACTTGGATAATCAGTAGCAATGCGGTCTGCAGTATATCTAATTCTGTGTAGTTTGTTCTCTTCTAAACTTGGGTGTTATGTCAGTTGTTCATCTAGCCTAATGCTTGTATCTTCCAGTATTTCTTTTCTCCTTGTACCCCTTGAATTGTAAAAATTCATATATCAAAATGAATTCTTAATCTTTCTGTCAAAATATTTGGAAAGCATGGTGTATTGTGCAAATTCTGCTAGAGATCTTTGTCCTTTTTTCCCATCTCCGTTACTGGATGTTGGTGTTTGGGAGTCTCCTGTATGTCAGCTTTTGCTTCCCTAATCCTAAGTGCATTTAAAAAATGTCCAGAAATTGTTTGTTACCTAAATTCATGGAGGCAAGACTAAGCATTTTACAAACTCTGCTGATTTGAAGAATTAGATTTGTCCTGTCACTTGTATAGATCCTTTTTGCAGAAAGGTTCACTTCTGAGGAGTGATCCTCTGACAGTTCCATTTCAGGTTCAGGAGGAGCAGGCCTGTCTCTGGGCATAATTTCCCATTTATTTGCTGTTTGTTTGTTTAACGTATCTTTTTTCAACACATCATTTTCCTGTGACTAGTGACTGAAGATTTCCTGAAGTGAAAGGTTTCGCTAATAATTGCCTACGTGTTAACTTCCAACAGTAAGAGGCTAAAATTATACACCCTTTATAAAGAACTGTCTCTTTAAGTCAGGTCTTATTTCAGACGGATTGCTGGTGGCTCCAATTTCATGTTCAGGCTTCTTTGGCATTTCATTGGGAGGCTAGGGTGAAACTCCTTTCTATATATATATTTTACTCTAAGCCCCTGCTAATAAGTTATTCCAATAGATTTTCTTTAATGGATTTGCATCTTCTTACAGTCTGAGTCTATGGGATTTTTCATTACTGTTTTCAGCTGTCTAAATTACTAACTGTAATTCTCATAGTTCATGTGATTTAAACAAAATAAAGAGTGTGGGTGTATAAACCTTTCATCGGCTACTGTCGCAAACCAGTTGCATTACACAGCGGTGTACAAAGTAGGTCACAGTTTGTTCGCTGTTAGGCTGAAACAACCAAGTCTCAAACCAGAACGTCAGTCCTGATTCCGTATTAGTGCATTAAGATGAGGGAAAATTGCCTCTGTTATCCAAAACAGAGGGAAAGATGTTTGAACTTAATGCATATATAAATAGGACAAAGACTAATCCTCAGATGTCTAATAGGAATTTTGCAGATTTTTGAGCATTCCACTTCCAGGAGCTGACCAAAACAGTAAATCCAAATGCATTCAAAGCCAGCGCTTCCTTTAGCCATCATCTGTGCCTTCACATCGCCACACGTACGTGCTAAACTATGTCAAATGAGCTGCATTTCCAAGGAACGTGGCAGACAAACTCATAGATAACTTTATTATAGTAGGAGTAGCCAGTCAAAGATAACAGTTAACAGTTGTGCTAACCTGTGATTTAGAACACACAGGTGACTAAAGCATGGCTTAATCAGGTTTGCTCTGTATTAAAAAAAAAAAAAAAAGTAATGAGACTGAAACATAGTGCTAACAAATTCAACTGTCCTGACAGTAGAAACCATACGACCTATATAGATAGAAACCATAATACTGGAAATAAGTGAGATGGGAGATTTGTTTGGGTTTTTTTAACTTAACACTGTCATAGCACTTAAGGGCCGCAGTTGTTCTATGTCTTAGGACTTAACACAGGAGCTGATGTTTTAAGATTATGTGAAATGCTGTGATGATGCTATCAATGATCACAGCTGTGTTGCTTCTATTTAAATCTTATGTTGCACCTCCTTAAATTAGCGATTATGCATTCTCTGTAGGTAATTTTCACACATTCTGTTACACAAACATCTTGGGAGTTAAGGTGTTTGTCATTTGCACGGGAGCTGAATGCAGCCTCCTGTGAGAATGATTTTCCTGGCACTGCCCTGAGACTGGCAGCAGTGCATAGTTGCAATCGCCGCTGTCTAACTGGCATCCTCGGGCAGTTTGTTCTGCCTGGTTACATCCAAACGCCTTTCCCCAGCATGCAGGAAATCTCTGTGAGGAAAAAGAGATGGTCTCTGCTGCAGCAGAACCACGGTTCTGCAACGGTAGGCATCTGCCAGCATAACTGCACACAGTGACTAGGGACGTAGAGGGATAAAATGGGAACTGGAAATAGAAATGGGTTTTTCTCTTGGTCTGTTGAACGAATGATAGGACTTCTAAGACTGAAGTGGTTAAAATTCAGCATATGAATGGCATGTTTGTAAGGTAGTTGTTCATGCTGACATTTATGCTATTAATTGCTTTTAGATATGTGTTATCTTGAAAGAAATGGGCTGGATTATCAGCTAGTATAAGTTGTTCTACATTTAATGGGAGCTATGCTAATACACAAACTAAACATCTTCCTTAGGGGGTTCAAAATATTTTAAGCAAGTCAGTTCATTTTGAGGTGTCACAGACTGAAAAATAATTTTTTCCAATGGAAATTTCTAGTGAAAAGACTTAGCCAGGCAGCTTCTGTCCCCATCTTGCCAGCCTATCTGAATCCTGAGGACATCTTACTTTTCTATCTGCATAGGAAGCAAGTATATGTCGAAAACTATTTAGGTAACTGCCTGAAATCCAGATTCATGCTGACAACCTGTGCTTCCTGGTTAGTGTGATGTGATTTGAAATTGTTATGCTTAAGTAACACAGGTTATGATATGGACGCTTCTGACTAAAAGCACTGCTAGCAGCTACCTAATACACCTGCTCATTTTAATATGAAATCGTGTGTGAGCCCTGGGGTTTTTGAATTCGTTGCAATTTTTATGAAATATTTGCAAAGGCCAGCCTCATCACGTGAAGGAACAGTAGATAAAATTCAAGGCAACAGTATTTCATAAATGGGACATTCATAGTCACATGGGATGTTTAATCCACTCTGCTCTTTCTCCTTACCAGCTGTACAAACAGAAGCCCTAAAATCCGGAAGGGTCTTGTGCCAGCAAGGCACTGGGCATATATTGCCTTGACCGTTGTAGAACATAGGGTGTATCCTGCCACTGCAGTCATATTTTGGGTTTCTGAGGTATTGTCTGTGTTCCTTATCATCGCACATCACTTCCTGTATGTTTTCTGAGCTGAGATCTCCCAGGTTGGTAGCATGTTGAGCACCAATATAGGCCTGTTGCAGCCCGGTATTCCAGATATGTACCAAGTTTGTTAGCTGGTTTTCAGTTGCATGCCTTGGAAGGGTACCTAACCTCTCCTGAACCCGTATGTGCAAAAGGGGATTTTTTGGGGGGCTTATTTGGCCTTCTTTGCCTCTAGCATAACTTTTATATATAAATCTCCCAACAAACTTGCTCAATGTGAAAGGTGTATGTACCGATGCATTTTCTGAAGTGTAGGGAGTAGAAAACCAGATTTTTATAAGTTAAAAGGCAGTTTGTAAAATATTAAAATATTAAGAACAGAATATGACAGCTGAAAACACAGAAGTAGACTGAAGAACCAGACTGTTGTTATCAGCAGAAGAAAAACATTAGGTTAATCTGCATTACAGCACTCTGAAAGAATACAGAGCTTTGAAAACAGCTTTCACTAGGGGGTGGGACATTTTACTTTTATGTAGAGCTTTTGTTCATTTAGAATTGTTTACTCCAGCAAGCAACCCTGTGCTCTTTGTTTGACTGATTTTTCCCATTTGGCAGACCCTTTGCAATCACATGGATAACATTCTTCTTTCCACTGAGACATAGAAAAACTATTCTTTATTGACTTTGCGTGTTGTCCTAAATGACAAAAATATATTTATACACTAGGTGAACTGTATGACTTCATCACGGACTTTTAATTGAAAATTCTTCAAAGCAAAAACCTCAAAGCGCTGCTTTCATTGTTTTTTTTTTTTTTTTGAACAAACCAGTAACTTCTTACTAGCAAACAACTCTGCCCTCAGCTACACATGCACAACTCCCACAGATGGCACTCAGAACTGTGTACAAGTATCCAACTGCTGAAGCTATGTCAAAAAAATGCCATGCGTAGAAGAAATAGGTCTTTTGGTCTAGGTGGGGGATTTTTATTTATTTATTGAACAACAGAGTATTTGTTGTGGAAGTATGGATGTTTACTTTTTTGTTTCTGTGGATATTTTGGAAAGTTAAGTATTTAATGTTTTATTTTGTATGGTTGCAGTGGGAAGCAAAGCGGAAGACTCAGAAGAACATACACAAAATCATGCAACATCTCTCTTTTAGTTTTCTCACCAGTATCACAAAACACAGAGCTCATGGACTAAACTTTGTGGTACTGATTTAGAAACACTCTTAGCGTTATAGTTTTACATGTGAGGTGCTGTAAATCAAAGGGAGATGATGTAAGGACCTAGCATGCCAAGACAAAATTCAGTCCTAGTGTAAGTGAGAACAATTCTGTTAAAACAGATGGAATTGTGCACATTTAGCCAAAAATTTTGAGTCTGTGTTTATCTTGTGTTCCTGAATGCTCACTTGCAAGCTTTTCTGACAGGGACAAAACTCTGGATGAAACAAATGGGGTTACACCCACATATAGGCAAAAACTAAGGCAAAAATCTTTCATTTAGTATAAATTGGAGTAGCTTCACTGACTTCTGCAGAGCTGTGACAATTTACACAAATCCAGGCTCTGTTCACAACAGTCTCATTTTCAGAAATGCTGTGCCTCTGCAATTCCAACTGAAGGCAATGAGAGCTAGGGTTGTTCTGCATTTCTGCAGGGGGAAAAAAGTCAAAGGCCCTTTTGTTATCACTTAGCACATGTGCTGAGAAAGTGTAAAATTAAGATCACAGTGATAGCATTTTCAGTGATCTTGTGTACGTGTCCTTACTTACATAAGGTGCAAGCAAAATAAAAATCAGACTGGGGGCCCCGGTAAGGAGCCCTCAATATTTTTTTTAACTCAGTCTTGTCAAGCATGGTCCTATTTCGGCCTTTATAATTTCACAGTTAGGGGAAAATATTTGCAGTTCCACTACTAATTCCACACAAGTCAAACAAAGGTCTAGTTGTTTTGAATGAAAGCATGATAAAACACGGATACCCTCTAGCTCTTGCTGTGGTTCAGCGTGGATTTCTTCCATCACTTACACAGACTTTGTCTTCACTGTTATACCAGTACCCGCCCCTTGTTTTTCTCCTGGTTGGTGATGCTGGTTGTTGTGCCAGATCAGGACAATCAAACCATTTGAAGAAAAAAAAAGCCCTCTCAACCTGCATTATTCAACCCCAGCTGTATGATCCTATCCCCTCCTTTTCACAAGCACTAGCAATTGAGCCAGTACAGGAAACTGCTGAGCCAACTGGAAAAAAAATACCACTTGTAGTGTTAAGGGTTTGGCTGCTCAGCTCCTTGACTGGTTCACCGTGGGTTTGGTAAGTGCCAGAGCTAAGGGTAAATGTGGGAATGTGAGCACAGGTGGAGCAATGTGTCCCTAGCCTCTAGGAGCTGGTTTTCTTTAGTTTAACTTGGCTTATATTGCAGCATTGCACCCACAGTTATCACCACAGGACAATGCTGGCTGTAGCACCATTAGTTAACTGTAATGGAAAAAGTTAGGTGGATTTTAACACCAAGTTAACACAAACATTGTAAGTAAATAGTAAAGCCTTTATTCTCGTTAAGAACAGCATTTTGAAAATAAAACATTTGCCCATGCTTTACAACCTTTGTAGTTTTGTATACTTATGTACAGTCATCATGGTACACATTGATTGTCTTGAAAAATCCTTTAAAGATGTACTTAAGATACCAGTATGCAACAATCAGCGGAAAAAAGGGTACGTTATAAAACACACATTAATACATTTAATAAATATATATTATCTATCAAAAATGAGCTTTAGCTCTCATCAATTAATAAAAAGCACCTGCTTTGTAATCCTGTAAGTTGGTAGAATAGTCCAATTGTTTATTATAAAAGCTACAATGCTCCCTTTTGCATGGCCTTTGGTTAGACCCAAGGCATCAAGCTCAAACAAAGCCAACCATGATGCCCATGTTTAGACTAAAAACAGAAACATCTAGTTCTATAGTATTTCATGTACCTTGTTTGTAGAAACAATTGTATGTATTGAGAGCGTTCTTCTGAAGATGCTACATATTTTCTGGCAAGTGTCAAACACCCTCAACTCATCTGAAAGCAGGACAGGATCTGTAGAGTACGGCTTGGAACTTTTTTCCCATCCATTGATCAAAAGCCAGTTATTATAAATCTTGTTTCGGTGACAGTTTTTTCAGATGCTTTACGATTTCATTTTTCTGCATGGAGACACCATGAGCACATAACCATCAAGGGACAACATAGTAGCTTTTATAGTATAAAAGCTAATTATAATGAACTGAACTGCGAAAGGCTTGTGCTTGCTTACTTACTGTGTTGTTCACAGATGCTCTACATTCTAGATAACTTTCATAAAAGGCAAAAGTAAACAATTTGTTTACTGTAACAAAAATATAAGTTAACATAAAGGTGCCTTTCTTCAATTACAATTTTATTTGGGGCATTTTACATCACAGACTAGCGACTTACAAAAAAAAGTTGCTTATTACTAATTATATAAAGTTGGAAAATAAAGATCCTCCTAATCTATTGCCACACCTTCACCACCACAAATTAAACCCAATCCTGCTAATTTTTAATTTTGTGAATAGCCCAGTGAGACTAGACACGTGAGTAGCAGTTTGTAGGATCTGGCTACATCTTTGCATGAGGCCTCAAATTCCAAACAACTTCATCAAGAGCAGGATTGGGAACTCTATTTATCAATTCAGTCACATCTAGAAAAAGAAAAAACCTTTCTTAAGATAACTATATCTTGTACAGATTTTGTCCAAGGTCTGTAAAATGTGTATTATAATTCATAAATCTTGGTTGTAGCATGATAAACTTTTTAAAAGAAAGCTGTCCTACCATTTATGCCATGGTCATCTTATATGTTTTTACTACAGAGTTCTATGAGGGTTTTTTTTAAAATTAATTCTTAAAAGCAAAATTCTTCAGGCAAGTGATGGTAATAGGGTTTTTATTGTTCCAAATGATGCATCTTCTGGGTAACAACATTATCTTAAATACTACTTATTTGATCAAAGCTTTGCCTAAAACAAGTAAATGTATTTCTAAGTCGCTGGATAGCATGCAATATCCACCCCTACCCTACTTGGTTACCAAGGCCATCTAGTTACTTACAAAATAAAATAAGCAATCCCTAAAACAAGCACATGCTTCCTTTGCCTCGAGGAGGGAAGGGCAGGGGGGAGCTAACATACTCTGTTACTCATGCATGACAGAAAAACATTGCTTCTGAAGAGAAGGGCTTTGAAATAAAACCCCATAAGATGATCATGGCAAGAATGGCAATATATATTTTTTCCATATATATATATACACATATAGATCTGTGTGCAACACTTAGGGACTGGTCTTGCAGCCTCTGTACCTGTATGTAGACCTACTGGTGTCGGTGGGACTACTTGTGGGAGTACAGCTCTGCAGGACTAGGTTCCTAATTCAGTAGAAATGGAGGTACATGAAGAATCAGGAAGACTCTTGAAAAATAAAAAGCTTGTCTTTCTTTTGCAGTATACAGCAAGTAACTTCCTTCTGTGAAGCTACTAGGCTAGTCAGTTATTTGTACATTATATTTTTTGTTTGAAAATATATATTTTTATTACAGCATATGCAAAGTTTAATTGTTATACGTTTCCTATGCCCTCAAGTAAAAACAATTAGCTTTTAGTATCGAGGAAAGCTAAGATTAACATTGGCCAAACAGTGAGCATACAATGATGTTTTCAATGTCCGATATGTATTAAATGTTAAATAAAGGAATGATTGCTTAAACATAATGAAAAACCATGGCACAAACAATGGGCAATGGGAACCTTTTAAATAACCTGGAGAAAACAAAGATAAAAAGCTTTGAGAAAGTCTGCCTTATATCAACTCAAAAAAGTGGAGGGGAGGGGAAGGAGTAAGAAAAAAACCACCTTATAAAAACAAAAACGTCAACAAACCACCTCCAGCACGGAGATTCTACTAGCTAGGCACTAGAATGCACAACCACATTGAAATGCACAAACAACTGCAGTCAAGGGGACTACTCATACGAACGGATTAGAAAGGGAGGTCTTGACCCTCTGTCTGCTGCTGAGTTTCTCCTGAAAGGTGGGCAGTGCTTCTCAGCTGCCACCGCTTTCCTGCTTGACAAGATCAGCCCAACAGAAGAGGCTGGCTCGGGCAGTACCATGGGTTGCCTTTACTCCACCATCACAACGAACTCCTCCTGGCAAACTCAAGTCACCTTCTCTCCCCAGCTAAGTTTTTGCACAAGTACATCCCTCCGAAGTCTCACTTAATGGCTTTGTCTGTAGGAGACGTGAGAGCATGTGGCTCTTTGCTGGCGCCCAGGGTTGAAGCTGGAATAACGGGGAACCGATCCCACGCGGCCGAGGAGAGCTGCCTCCGTGCTGGACCTACGCTTTTCCTCTCTGCCTCAAGGAGCTCCGTAACTCGCATGAAACATGCATAGACCTTTCGTCCCTCCCGAACTGCGTTTCCTACACCAGCTTTTTAGGGAAGAGTATCAGCCCACAGTGTAATGGTAATTTAGTTGCCACCGAGTGACAATGCTTGACTACACATGATGCTACGTGACTGTACAGTACAGCTAGATAATGAAGCAAACAAGGTACTTTTCATGAAGTTTGAAATGAAGGGAAAAGGAGCAAAATGGAAAGAAATCCTGCACATTTTCACACTGTAGTGGCAATCTCTTGTGGCAACATGAATTAAGTTTAGGTGAGAGGAGGGTATTTTGCAAGCAACTGGCAACCAACAAAACCAGGCAACCAACAAAACCAGGCTTGCCTCGCACACTAGTTACAGACAGGAGAGATACTTACATTTCGGAATACAATATCCCCCTCTGCCAATTTAAGGTGTGCCTACTTCTACTTTAAATTAGATTCAGCTTCAGTTTTACAATTTTGTTTTTGCAATTACCAGTTCAATGGTGTTCACATTTAGACAAAATCCTCTGTAGGATTTCGAAAGCTCCTGGATGTTTTGTTGCTTTGTTCTGGTACTGTTATGGATTCCTCCCTCAAAGACACACTGCCAGGGAACAAAATCTGCAACAAGGATTCTTATTCTCTACAGCCTACAGCCTTTCACCAGAGGTGTCGTCCAGTGTAACTTGGCGGAGCAGTTGGTATCTG